TCATCAGACTAGGATATGCACTATGGACCACTTAGGGCAAGTGACGGTACACCTATTTTATACATTCCACCCTTTCCTTGATTTGTCACTATTTATTACTTCGATTCAATTTATAGAAAAGATCGACACTATACATTCATTTCATGCTTTTTCCATACTCAACAGGAGACTCTTCAAACGTTTTGATCAGCTCTGATGCCACTCCCGTTAAGACACCAAGCAACCCTTGTCGTCTTGATGGATTAGTTAATCAGCTTGTGCGGGACGCCCGCTCATCTCAGATACCAGTATTCTTCTCACTCACGCGCCGCGAACTTCGTTACCTCTGCCATAAACCAGCCTTGGTATCTGCCGTTGGTGTTATCAACTGGGATGGGGCTGAAGAGCTAGGCTCTCGTCTTGCCAAACTTTACCGCGAGCCATCGCCTCCGTCTTTCGCCGAGAGCTTTCATCATCCTACTACTACTTCAACTCAAAGATTGCGGCCTTGAGAAAAGGACCAATATGTCCACTATCTGAAGACATCGATCTATCCTGCAATTACAAAGACAAATGAGGCATTCGGCTGCAGCTGCAAGTCCATAAGGCTGGCAACCGCCTCGTCCTGAGTTCAAAATCTTTGCACTATTATATAACAATATCACTTCTAATGACAACTGTGGTTTTCGTTATTGTTTTTCACTTTAAGTTCCTTTTGAATGTCTAATTTCCATCCCTTAACCCGACTCAGTTCCTCCATAATATATACTATCAACTCTATTCACTTTCCTCACTCTCGACTAAGGAATGCAAGGAGTTTTTAAAAAAAAAATCACTAAGGACTCGCACCCAAGATAAATAAATGGCAAAGTTCTCGCAAACGCCTCTTCTGAATACTGATTGTTTGTCAAATGTGGCTCCGTAACTATATATAGTGGAGCAACTAGTGAGAGGCCTTGTGAATGAATCACAGGCTGCTCTTCAGGAGTCACCTGGTATACCTGCATTGCATCTGCACTTAGACAAAATGGACTACCCTGGCCTACATGCGCTGATGCTCTTTTTAATTGGGTGGTCTATGAAATAAATAAGTTTATGGGGTAGGATGCTAAGCTTCGCAGTAAGCGATTACCATCCTTTGCGTGATCTGGGCGTTATACCGGTGAATCGACTAGTTCCAGTGGCCTCTGGCGGTTGGGCTTATTTTGCGAGGGCTTAAAGTGATTACGCTAAGGATAGACGCAACATAGGGTTACTGCTATCTAGTTAAATTAGCCAGGAGTCGGATGAGCCTGGAGCTAGACGACTGATTGTGGACATTCGTCGATCTGGCCGATGACGTAAGGCCGGAGTTTGGCCAAATTCTAGATAAGGATAAGTTGGTCTTCTCCAAAACACATATTAACCACATTAC